TTTTTGAGGGGGGGTGGGGTGGATTTGCCCCTGTTCTCAGGAGCCCCGGGGGTGGCAGGAGAGCCCGAGGGGTGTTGGGGAGAAGCGTTGCCCCGCACCCGTGTGGGCTGCAGGGATGGGATGGGATGGGCGCAGCGGAGAGGCACGAGGAGCCCAACCGAACCCCGAGTGGGTGGGTGGGTGGGTGGGTGGAGGGATCCGGGGCAGAGGGTGCAAACTCCGGCATCCCGGGGAAGCCGATGCGCCCTTTTGCCGCCGTGAGGCTGAGGAAGCGGAGAGCGGAGCGTGTCAATATTTATCCTTGGTTGCCGTTTGCTGCGAGGGAGGCCGGGCACGGCGGGGGATCGATGTCGGGAGAGCCGAGGGCACGGGAAAAGTTTTCCCGGAGGCGGTGCAGCCCCGCGGAGCCTCTCCCCGGCGGCAACGGGTCCCCGCGTCCCCGCGTGTGCGGGGGGCCCGTGGCGTCCTCGCACCGCGTCACCGCCAGCCCTTGCCCACGCTGACTGCGTGGGAGAGGCACAAGGAGCCTGTCTCGCCGGGCATCTTTTTTTTTTTTTTTTTCAGCCATACGTTACTTGCACGTCTATCGTTTGCCTCTATTATTTATGTGGTGCCGTGTGATATACATTAGAGCCCGGGATTTGATTGGCGTTTGCGATGACAAGACCTGTTTGTTAAGTTGTAAGGCTTCCTCGGCTCCCTCACGCGTTAAATGAACTCTGGAGGAAGGATGCCACCGAGACACCACAATATAATAAATGTCAGGGATATCCGCAGTGCCGAGATCAAATGATCAATCCTTGTCCCCCAGATAATCATTTTAAATTCGCACAGGGGGAGATTGATTTTTTATTTATTTATTTATTTTTAAAGCTCTTTATTAATTGCTTCCTCGATTATTATTTTCCCCCTCCTCCTGTGGAGGTGTTAACTCTGGTTCTGGGGGCACTTTTGGATGAATTCAAAGTATTTTTAGGGTTTGAATGTTCTGCTCATTTTCAGAGCAGTCCCACGCTCCCCCGGAAAAGAAACAATGGCCCCTTGCTCCGGCAAGGAGCCTCCTTTGGTTGCGATTCAGAGCAGAGGGTGGCGTGATGATGGGCTCTGATTATCTCAAACTGTAAACGAGGGAACGAGAAGGACGCAAAAAGCCAAACAAGCAGAAGAGCAAATTCTTCCAAATGCCAAATAACCTTTCGCGTTAAAGCTCCTGGAGAGGGGATGAGAAATAAATAGCCGGGAAGTCGGTTCCGCTTGCGGATCAAACGATGCGGAGAGGCGCTGGAAATGCCGCCGCTGTTATCTAGAGGGGAATTTATTCCGGCGCACAAAGTAATAATTATTCCGGGAGTACAACAAAAATTACAGCTGCCTACCAAGAACAAGGTGGGAAAATTATTGCCAGTCCTGTATTAAACCCGGCAGGATATGGTTGCTTATTATTATTAGAATTATTAGTATTATTATGATTATGATAATAATTATGCTTAATATAATTATTGTAGTTATTTTTTTTGGGTTTTGTTTTGGTTTTTTAAAGGAAAAAAAAACAAACCAAAATACGATTTAATGGCCTATTTGTCTTGCACAAACTCTTGTGTTAGCAAATTACCCCTCTGCTGCACGCAGCAGGGTAGCTCCACATCCAAAGACACATTTTAGATTTTAATCTTCCCCGATTCATATCTTCAGCCGGCATAATACCAGTAAACAAGAAAACAGCCCCTGCAATGTTCACACGCATCTGGAGAGCACCCTTACCTAAGGATAAACCACCCCCAGCCAAGCCACCCTCTCCAAATCCTCCGAACACACCGACACGGATCTCCGAGACACCTCGCAACTTGTTCAGCTGCAACACAGTTCCCGCACACCCACCCGCCCGCCAGAACAGGCAACACTTTCAACCCCGCGTTTTTGGTTCGCTGATTATTTTCACTATTTAATTAAGCGAACTTAGCGAAACAGCAAATCTGGTAGAATTCCCAATGGTCACAACAAACGCACATCTCCGGCTCTTTCTTCATTACCTTTGCTTTATTGAACACTCATTTTCTTTTCCTCTTGACAGCGATACATTTAACTGCAGGAGCGTAGCTATTTGATTAGCTGTGGGTCCGTTTTTACTCACAGTGTTGCCACGCACAGGATGTCCTTACAATCAATTAAGTCTTCCTCGACTTTCATTTCTGCAACCCATTTACAGAATGCAGATACCTATTTTCATGTTTTCCTCTCAAGGTTTCACCCTCCTTCCCCCCCCCCCCTCCCTTTTATTCCTCTCTCTCCCCCTCGTTCTCTCCCCTTCTTTTCCGCTTTCGCCTCTTCGCCTCCCTAAATCAAGGTGCAAAGATGCCAAAGAGTGATGAAATGAAAAGAAAGCCAATTGCTGGACTGAGGTGGGGGAGATAGCTGCTAGGAGTCCGCCTGCGACTATGGAGCAGTCAGTAATTGCTGGAGACAGGGAGAGCTGGGGGTTGGGCTGAGGTAGCCATGTATAAATAGTGTGATCTCAAATTGAAAGGCATAAATAACAGCAGGAGTGATCTAACCCTATACAGCCCATCTTCTACGTGCAAAACCAGCGTGCGGAGGACGGCCACATCTCCCACCGAAAACAAGTGGATCTCTGTGGATAAGATCACTGGGCAGCCATGGAAGAACTTACGGCTTTTGTATCCAAATCTTTTGACCAGAAAAGCAAAGAGAGCAGCAGCGGCAGTGGCAGCAGCAACAAGAAGGAGACGATCACGTACAGGGAAGTTTTGGAGAGTGGGTTGGCTCGCTCGAGGGAGCTTGGAAACTCTGACTCTAACCTGCAGGACATGACCGAGAGCAGCAACCATTGCCCGGTGCATCTTTTCAAAGACCACGTAGAGAGCGACAAGGACAAACTGAAGGAGTTCAGCACGGGCAGGACGGCGGAAGGTAAGAGCGGGGCTGAGCGCCCTCCGCCCCGAGCCCCTCACCAGCGGCCCCAGCCCCCTCCCCAGCCACCCCAGCGCTCCGCCCTGGGGCAGAGCCGGTCACCGCGGCCCCGGCGGGGCGAGCGGGCTCGTCTCCCGCATCCTGCCTCCCTTCCCTCCCTCCCTCCCTCCTTCCCTCCCTCCCGCAGCAGCGGCGGGAGCACACGCTTAGAAACGCAAACGCCTGCATGCATAACCCAACCGTAGCCGCGCAAAATAAGTCGCAACTTCGCTCCTTGCCCCTTCCACCTCCACAACCTCCTGCCGGCCCCTGTTCGCATCCGAAAATCGATCCGGTGCGTTAGGCGTTCGCTTCGCCCGGGGAAAGGGGGCAGCGCAGGACGTCAGACATTTTTGTCTATCTCTGTGGTTTTGTACGAGGAAGCCTTGTCCGGGGAGTTTTAATGCCTGAGAAGACCTGTTTCTTCCTGCTTCCGGGCCGTCAGGATGCTGCTGCTTCTTCTGGGAGAAAGCTGGATGTGGCGGAGAGGGGCTCTCCCTGGACGTTTTGGTTTGTGCCGGTCAGCCTGTCCTAGTCCCAGGCTGCAGCCGGCCAGGAGGAGGAGAGGAGCCTGGCTCTGGGAGAGCTGCCTGGGCCCGGGGGAGACGGAACATCCATGCGGAGAGAGGCACCGGCCGGCCCGGCCGCCTGATCCCTTGGTCCCCTCCCTGCCCTTCTTACCTGGGCCAGGGCAGCACCGCATCCACCTCCCCCCCCCCAACCCCCCCCCGGGGTGCAGAGATCGCCGGCCGGGGGATTAAAAGCCATTCCTTCTCTTAGCGGAAAGGAATTAACGTTTAAATTAATTTTAAACCCAGCAAGATAAAAATCCCGCACAGCCTCCCGAGGAACAGGAGAGAATAAAAAGGGCGGAGGGATTAGAAAGTTGAGAAAGTGTCTCTAGGCAAGTTAGACAGGTGGACCTGCCTGGGGAGCTACTGCCTGGCTTGGGGTAATAAAAAACGGTTAATAGGTTGGGGAACAACAACCGGTCTTTCAACTGTTTCCTACCGTTTGATCTTGTTTAATATAACATTGGGCGAAAGGCAGTTTAATTTACAGCCCAAACGCTTATTTAATATCCTCCTCTCTTCCACCCCCTCCCCAAGCAGAAGGACGGGGTGTAATCACACAGTCGGGTACCCGTATTTCTGCTTTTGCCAGCCCCGCTCAGCACTGCTGGTTTTCCTTCTCCGGTCGAGACATTGCAAAGCGAGAAGGTTCAGTTTAGAGGAATCATTCGCACAGTAGATGGTTTTAAAAATGAAAGCAGGGCATGCTCCAGGAAAAAAAATAAATCTTAAAAAAAAAAATAATGTGAACGAACGCAAATATATATATATAAACCTCTACTACTCCGCCTTTTCCCTCTGTATCGAAATTCTGGCTTGTATGTTTAGCTAATCTAATCTGCGGAGAGGGGCTGGGGGTGGGGATGGAAGGGAGGAGTTGGAAAGAGCTGAGGTGCTTCTGACAGTTTAAATTCATGCCAGGTTTCAGTCTAATTTCAACTGATTCCGGCGTGTGATTTCAGTCCCACTGATACGCTGGTTAATATTTGATACCTCTCACGGACACGCCGCGGCCTCGGATCTCCGAAAGGAGACAGAGATTTTGAAGGCGCCTCGTTTTCCCTGGGCATTTGCTGGGTTAGCACCCTCGTCTTCTCAGTAGGGCCCTCCTTACAGCAGAAATGTGAACAAAACGCCATGAAAACCAAGCAGAGAACACCCCTCCTCGGAGCCCAGGCCCTTCCCAAAGTTCTGTGCAGTCGATATCCATCCCAGCATCGCAGACTGGGAGCCCGGAGGAGCGATTGCGGCCAGGGGCAATTTTCATTTTGGAAGTGAAAACGAGCGCTTTTCTCCTTTCCCCGCCTCGCTTAAGCACAGATACAGTTCAGGACTTTTTATTACGTTCAGTTAACTTACAATTTGCAGTTATTTGCATTTTGGGATGCCGTTAAGTGTATAGGATAATATATACGTGCTTGAGCACATTTTTTGTATATACATATATAGATAGGTAAAGAATTAGTGTGTATTTGATGAGGGAAAAC